GCAGGCTGTGGACTGACAATTATTGCATATTTATAAACAGAAATTAGACTAGGAACATATTTGGAAGAGTGGGATCATTGGTTATAATTATACTCCAATGCTCACAAGGCACATACCTGTAGGAAAGCTCTAAAACTGTCCCTTTGAGTGCTTATATACCAACCCACCCTGTCTGCCCATCACTCAGAAACACTTGGTTTCTGTACCTTGGTGCTTTTGCTGCCAGGCCCACATGGGATGCAGGCCTCCCTGCCATAGACCTGGTGGATGGACAGGAAGGTGTTGGCCGGACACTCCTTGCACTGGCTCGTCTCCTTCTCGATGTAGTGTCCCGCCGGGCAGGGCACGCAGGATGAGCCAGACTGCTCAGACCCCAGCGCACAGGCCCGGCAAGAAGAGGCAACTCCATCCACTGCGTTGGTCACGGTGATGGAGTAGATCTTTGCCATGTCATTGATGAACTGTCTGCTCTGGAACGAGAGCCACAGAAACCACCCTGGTGCCATTGTGCCACTGCATGTGGACGCTAACCACAGCGCTGTGAACCAGGGCACCAATTCAGGGATCAACTTATGCATGTGTCTGTCTTTCAGCATGGATGGTTTATCCTCAGCTCCCTCCCCAGGGATGCTATATAGCGACAGCCACTCGCCCCTTACAAGAAGCCTGTGAGCTTCAATGGAGGGCAAGAGCTCTGGTGGTGGGTGTCCAAGGAAAGCTGTAAAGCCCTGTACATAAAGAAGTACTTACGTCTTGGCCCTCATTTATTCTCTGAAAGGCCCAGGTGAACGTGAAGGAAGCGTTTTTGGAGATGATGTGAGTGTAGGATTGTTTCTCTTTACTTCTTTCCCATGATTCCACCACATTAGTGTTTTTTCGATTAACATCCTACAAAAGGGGCATTAAAAGTTTTTATTTTTAAAAGGGTGGTCGGACTATACTAAACACCAGTATTTTATAATACAGAGATTAATATATATAAAGACATTACAATTGCATTTAACAGTTAATAGAGGAGAGCAAACATATTTATTCTGTTTTCTATTACTGGAAGATGTTCCAGTTCACACAACAGTTAAGTTCAAAGTCCTATAGCAGCTTATAAACATTACGAAGACAGATTCAGCACAGAATTTCTTTCAGATTTTAAATTCCGTTTATATATGTGGGTACCACATATATAACTATATATATACACACACACATGTAATACATATGCAGTATATATATAAATATATATATATACATGTGTGTACCTCAGCACAGAAAGGGGAAGGCCAAAAGGCAAAGACAAATTGTAGTTTCTGCCATCTTTGGATATCCACTTTGTTGGTGTCTCTAGTAAAACAGAACTGAGGCCAATAAGCATCAAAGTTTACACGAGAAAAACCTGTTCAATTTATGTTTGTGTTTCTTATTCTCCATCAGCTGTAAATGTTCCAGTGAAAGATGCTTTTCCTTTAAATTACCACCTAATTTCCACTTAATTCTCTTTAAAATAAGAGCAGATCCCTGTAAAGTACCACCAAATACAAAAAAGAAAAGACCAGCTTCCCTTTGCAACGGCAGAGGCAAGGAAGCCATCACAGATCCAGCTACCTTACTCACCTGATGGACCTTCAATAAGCAGACAAGGAAAGTAAAAAACACAGCCCTTCACTTTCACAAAACAATGTCTTTCTGCTGCCCTACCAATTCTCCAGGTCACTGACAGGATGAAGACCAAATTTCCCAATTTTCCATTTCCCATTCCACTGTCCCACATCTTGCCTTGTGACTCTATTAAACTTCTGGGGGCTAACTCGACTGCACAAGAGACACTGAGAATTTTATCAGTCAGTTTGACAGGCAAAAATCTGATTCTTTGGCATTCAGTGATTTCTTTTAAAATAAACAGGTAACCAAGAATGGCTCACAACTCATGCGGTGGAGGAATTTTGCTAGGTCATTCATTAAATCCTTCCTGCAAGGGCACCGCAGATATTAAACTAATGTCATACTTAATCTTGGTCGTAATAAACCAAGTGCAACTAATTACACCTATGTAGAGGTATTAAAGTGATACGTGGAATACCAGGCTCAGTCCTCAGTCATCAGGGGAGAGGTCTCACTTACCGCCATAAAGTACAGCACGCAATCTGCTGAACAGATGGTCTCAAAAATAAAAGTAATCCGTCCTAGTTCTGACCCAGTTGCTCCTGTCACCGATGTCGGAGGTCTGTTTAACAGAGAAGGAATGAAACATTTACAAGGTGCTCTCCAGACAGGCAGCAGTCAATCCTTCAAATTGCTTTTCGTACAAGCGGGGAAAACATCAAAGTCCCGTCACATAAAACCTGCCCTTGCAGAACGGCGGAGGCCAGGTTTGCACCGCGGCTCTGCACTGGGTGTGGGGCACAGCAGGGTTATTTTTTAAGTGTCTGACTTCTGCACAGTTTCCTCCCTATAACCAACACCTAAGTGTGACTGTACCGGCAGGGAATCTTAAAGTATGTAATGCATTTAAGCGGTAAGTGATTTACACTGATTTAATTGCGTCTACCCTCCACTGACGGGAGATGCGTTCAGGAGTTTCATGCAAACCAGAAGCACTCAGGGTGCTCCCCTGCTAAGTACTGGACAGAAAACCGTAAGCTGGGACACGCCGAGATTTTCCATGGATATGTTTCTTGCTTCTCTTTTAATTGCTGCTTACCCATACTGTAAAATAAAAATCAGGGTTTGCTCACTGGGTGTAAGAAGTCACAACGCCTCTCAGCTGAGGTACGGAAAAGGGAGGGTGAGGTTCACTTTGCCATACCTTACCTGTCTTAATATTTGGCACCTGCTCTGAGCTAGGAGACTAAGCTCACTCTTTTGACAAGGAAAGAGACACGAGCACCTCAAGCAGCTATTTCATCTATCTGGGCGCCCAGGAAAGGTGGATGTCCTGCTCTCCTGCGGTGCCTGCATCTCTCCGCTGGCTCCAGGGGAAGCACAGACTGTGCAGGCTGGCCGGAGCCACAGCGCAAAGTAACGCGGGTTTCTGTAAAACGCCTTCAGGGCAGGCACCAGTACACACCCCGCGGCAGGTTTAGCTGGTTACTTTGGGATAATTTAGAAACAGAGAGATAGGAACATCTTTTCTCAGTTTCCAGTCAGCCAACCGCCTGGGATCTCAAACTGAAGCAAACACTGCCGAAAACCAGGGTCTTACGGAATCGTCAGCTGCAATGGGCTGACTGCGGACGCAGGAATAAAATCCAAATTTCCCCTTGTCTCTCATTCATGACATCATTGCACTTCAGAAAGGAAAACTCTGTTCATTCCAGGGATAATATGAAATAGGTGTAAGAGGCAGAGATAAATGAGGAATTAAAAAAAGAAACCTGTTCCTTACTTAAATCCCGGGATGTGCAGGTTCAATATAAGATAGTCATTGTCAGAGCCTCCTGCCCCACTCTGGATGTGATCACCAGCCACCTCCCAACCTTTACAGGACAAAAAAAGAAAAATTCAAGAAATGGATGGTTTCTTTTTCATATGGCAAAAAAATGCTGTTACCATACTTTTTAAAGCAATTCAGTACTTTAGTACATTTTAAAGATCTCTGGTGTAAACTATCACGCAGTGTAATAATGTTTCTGAACAAAAAAATTTAGTAATTGCATCAACTGCTGATTTTATAGGCAAATGTCACCTTGAAATCAGCAAAGCAATTGAAATTCCCTGACCTGTGCTGTGCAGCTCAAGGGGGATGATCCATCTGATCTCTTCCAGCCTTAAAACAGATGAATCAATGAATCTATGTGTTAAACGTTAAGCCTATACTTCAGTGCCCCTCTGCTCAACACACATAATTCAAAGCTTGAGTTATATCCGCCTGACAGGGCGGATCAGGCTGAGGAAAATCCCAAAGAAGGCTGGAGGTGGGAGAAGTCCTGAACGGGACCATTTTCACCAGTGAGCGGTGACTGCTCTCTGCTGCACTTTTAGCACATATGCAGAGAAAAAGATCTGAGTGCTAAATGAACAAAGATCACAGACTTTAATCAAGTTTTCCAAAAGAATTACGTGTGATGTCAAAGGGCATAGTTATCACAAAACATGAACGGAGATAAACTAGAGAGAAGTCAAATAGTTGGGTTTTTTTCAATGGGGATATTCAGATGCATCGAAGGCTGTGGTGGGATAGGTCCTTGTCTGGAAGGACTTCATGTAGGCTGCAGCTCCTGCCCTCTTCTGGTGTACAAGAGGGGTTTTTACTTCTGTTTTTCTGAAATTTAGTGACACTGTTTCCTACAGAAGTTTTCAAGCCTGGCGCAATTCAAGAGTAGGAGGGAAACTCTGTGTTGTGACTCACACAATAAAGAGCATACTCATGTTGATGGGTGCTCCATTACAACAGTGATCAGCCCAGGGGAAAGACAGGCAGGTAACAACACAGGGAATTTGGCTCACCGTTCATCCCATCACACTTTGAGTTGCCAACATTAAAGCAAGATGTCTTCATGTTGCCTGGCAGGATGTTCCACCACTTGTACTCAAACCCAAGAGCTGGTTCAGTCCCAGCAGGGCAGGCTTTGCACTCTACAGGGCAAGAGAGCAGGAAAGGAAATCACATAGCCAAAGCACATCTCAAACAGTGTTTTAAAGAACATAGACATTACTTTTTTACCCTCTGGGGCAAGCATTGAGCAATGAAAATTATTTATTTCCTTATAATTAAACAGCCAAAGACTTCCCAGGACCGGAAGAGTGGAAATGAGACCAGCATTTTATAAATTGCGGATCATAACTTTGCGGTATGTAATCTGCAACTGATCCCCCAACTCCCCTCCCTTTTTAATGGCCTCAGCTGAAGGTTTGATCATAGTGGTAAACATGAGCTCCCACAAAATGCTGGGCCAACACACCTCAGAATCAACAAGACAGAGTTTAGGCTAGACAATGTTGGCAGGGTACTCATCTGATGATGCTTAAAATGAGGGGAAGAACTTGGCATGGACAGGAGAATGGGTTAAGAGGAATTACTGACTGTAAAAATTCTGACTCCCTTCTCTGAATCCCTTAAAATAACCCTCAGGACGTTTATATCAGCCAAGAAATGCATCCAGAACACAGCAGGTCAACTTAGAGCAGCAATCTCTGATAAGAAAGGACTTCAGAGAGAAAACAGATAACCAACTCCCTCTCTCCGATGTTATTTAATAAGTATTTTATGCAAAATGAACTCTGGCTTATGATGACATGTCATTAAACCACATGCAAGCAGACAACTGCTTTTGGGGACACAAGCAATTTTTTTGTTGACTCTTACCCTGTGTCCCATCCGAAAATGTGCCTGGTGGGCAAGGAGTACAGGAAGATGAGGCATTGTTGTAAAAGCCAGGATTGCAGGGTGGACAATCCTTCCTCTCTCCAGAAGGAGGCAGGGTCAGTGCATCAGGGAGATCCTCTCTGCAGATCTTGGGTTCAATCCATTTGTACATGATCTGAGTCTGTAAGAAAAAGACACTGAGCTCACACAGTGTGTTATGAAGCTTTAGGACTAGAAGCACTAACCCAGGTCCCCCTTGTAAATTAAATTAGGGTATTTCCAATGTTTTAGGCCAAAAACAGACCTTGCATATCCAGGACAATAAAGGGAAGAGCAGAGAAGGGAAACAGAAGTGACTGGGTTCACAGGCGATTCCAAGATTTCAGGGCTTAAGAGCAAAGCAAAAATGTGAAGCTTAAAAAAATTACTACTGTTCATTCCTATTTATCTAGTGGATTTTCCTATGAAAATGTTCCTGAGCAACATCAGATAAAAAATTCTAAAAACTCCATAAGCAATATCTGCATTTTGACCACAGTAACCAAAGATATAATTTCTGCATTATAAAATCCCTGTATCAGGAAGGCATCTGTTAGCAGAGATCATCACAAGTTCTGCATTTTCTCCATACTGGCCTGTTCTTTGGAAAGTTCTCAATCTCTCTCCAGCCTTTTTCACTTACTAAGCAAATGCCAAAACCACACAGGAACTCTTCCAGCCCCTCTCCAGTCCCTCCACATTACATAAGGAGCAGTCTATGAACACTAACATGAGGTAGTCCTTGGCGTTACCATATACCATGGTATCACCTTTCTGACATCACCTCTCTTTGACGAGACACAAGTTTTCAGACTTCAGGAAAAGTCTTAGGTGAGATGCGTCACCTGTGGTGTTGGGTTTCAAATCTCAACTGTTTTTGGGTCTATCTCTGAAAGGGTTTAATATCTCAAGACAAAAATTAGTAGAGCTCCAGAGCTGAGAAACCCAACTGGCAATACTTTACCCTGGCCACCAGTCCTTCTCTGGGTACTTCCACCATTTGGTCCCAGCAGTGCAATCAGGGACCCTTGAGGCCAGAGGCATGGGTACAGGGGTTCACAGGGGAGATTTCACCTTATGAATGTGGTTCAGGACCCTGAGCACATGTCCCTGCCATCCCAGGCATTGAGCTGCTTTGTGCTCAAGGTTCGCCTTCTAATAACACAGAGCTGTTCAAGACGTATTGACCAGCTTCGAAGTGGTTTAAAAAAAAAAAAAGCTGGAAGAAGCCTCAGTGCAGGCTCAGGCCTCAACTCCTGGGAGCTGCCATTAAGCTGAGGTTCTCACCCTTTGTCCCTGCCCACCCTGTGTGGCAGCCATGCCTGTGCCAGGTCATGTACCCTGTTTGACCCACATCCTGCCTGACCCACGGACTTGATCTCCCAGCTTGACATTGGTCGTGCCTCATCACTACAGACTTGTCTGGCAACCTTGGCTGAACCTGGCCGCTGATGCTGGGTCTGCTTTGCTCACTTTGCTCAGGCACTGTGGGACTGCTCCTGCGGTCAGAGTGGCATCGGTCCCTTATGGATCAGCCTGCCCTTGCTGAACACTTAGAGGGTTTTCCGGATTGTTGCTGCAGAAATGCTTCAGCAGCATCAGGGTGCACAGTATTTAAAATTAAAAGGCTCAGGAGCTGGCAAAGTACTTGTGTCATTGCCCAGAGCCCAGGCACACTGTACGTAATAAATCAATCCTACTGCATCTGGGCAGAGAGAAAAGGGTGAGAGAGTGCCCACAGCCACACGGGTGAGGCTTTCTAAACCCGGGGCTGAAGCAATCAGCCTGGGATCTTTCAAGCAGTAGATAGGTGAAAAGGCAATAGGAGTCAAGTGCCTAAATCTCCTGAGGCTCCTTCTACACATGGAGTGGGAACAGCAGGAGGAAGACAACAATCTAATGGTCAGTGAAAAACCTGGCTGATTTGAGTAAGCCATGGATCAATAGGCCTTTAGGCTGGTGCTTTACAGCCACCGTTAACCCGACGATGGGCTGCCGAGCCAGGCCCTCTCACTGGACGGCATCACACGGAGAGGCGGCTGGGCAGTACGGCAAACCTGGACTGATTTCCGGAGAGGCAGAGCACTAAGTGGTGAAAGCAGTCCTGAAAACCCAGCCAGTATCTGTGTGTCTACGACACATGTTGTTGTTGCAACTGGAAGATGAATCATTGAATAGTTTCTTCTTCAAATTCCTCCAAAATCCTCCTGTGACTGCTGGGACAAAGTGTGGGAGAGCTCCAAAGCCAGTCTGCTCCACCAGCAGGTCCCCCATGTGACAGACCCAGTGGATCTAAGACGTCTGGGTGAAACAGTCTACTTAGAGTCCAGGTATTTTGAGGCATCCCATGAAGCAAGCACATTATTAGCAGCTAAGGTCTGCTGCTGCACATGACCAGGTTATGTATATACCATTATTCAAACAGGTCATGGACTCTTCTTTGACACTAAAATCAAGGACATGACACACGTAACACCTATGCAGTCAAACTACCCAAAATAAATATGGTCATGTCCAATGCTCCTGTGCCATGGTAGCACCTGAATCATATCTGGGCATTGGTGGGACAGGGCAGGTTGGCACAAGCCAAAGGTATGCCAGGAAAGACTGCTAACAACTAAACAGCTGGATCTATTCTGGGACAGTATTTCAGCCTGTGCTCCAACCCATTTTTTTTATGAGCATGGAGGTAGCACCAATGAGCCAGTCAAACTAATCACAACTGCAAGGAGCTCAGCATTTCGCAATGACAGATCCCTTAAGCAGACCCATGACAGGCAGATTCTTATAGATGGATAAATCCTGGAGGGAAAGATACTAAAGGACAAGCCAAAAGCCTGAGGGAGATTCAATTCTGAAAGTAAAGTTGGGAAAGCAATTCCTAGAAGCCCTACACTGTTTTCAAATCAAGACATCACAGCAAGCTCAATGAGATCAAAAAAAGGATCATGCCTTCTACTTACTTTTCCTTCCTTATCACATGGGGTATGGATCTGGAAAAAGTCTTTGTTTGTGCATGGAGGACGCTCTATACATGCATTGGACCCCTCGTCTATAAAGAAAGGGTGAGGATGTTAAACTATCAAATGGTCCCTGGAAACAACCATAACAAGCTTAAAATCTGGAGAGTAAAGTGAGTCAGAAGAAAAATACAAGACAAGAATGACAAACCAAACTCTTAATGGAGACTACATGAACCTTCCCCTGAACTGAAGAGGGGGAACAGGGAAAATAGCAGCTGCGATTGTACTGTCACACTGAAATTCATTGATTCAATATAACCAGGGAGCCACCCAAACCCTCATCCCACCCCTTCACCTTCAAGCAGTAATTTGTGTACTTTACCAAGCGTGGAAATATGGTCTCACTTGATAAGGAACAAAAACACTCTAACCCATTAGAAACTTCCATACAACATTAGCACAATTTTTCCTCTCCCCAGACGTTTTTGCAAAATTCCCATTCCCATCATGAGCACAGGCACAGGTCCCCAAGCATTTGCCATAATCTGTAATAGCAGATGCTCTGGTTGATAATTAGTTCTTCAAAAACTTTCTTATAAAACAATTACAAGGAAGAAAACTAAAGATGTTTTGACCATGAAGAATGGATTGTGTCCGTGTTATTTCATGATCACCAGCTAACCACAGCTGGGAATGCAGAAGACTTTGGGGACTAGGGTTTGCAACTAGATCACCACATCTTCCAACCACAGGGGAGGTAGGGATGGGCCAGCAGAGGATTTGGGAAGGAGATTCCTAGAAACACAAGTCTGAAGGCAGTGATGAAGCCAATTCAGGTCGTCGCCAACCGATAACACAAAGTACCACGAGAGGGCACAGCACGACTGTTATTATCCTTCAGCAGACCTGTTACTTTCGAGGTCGCAAAGATCTCCATCCCTTCATGTTAGTGTAGGTGATCCTTGCCGAGATCAAGTGTGGCCCATTATGTCTGTGCCCTCTGCAGCTTTTGGGAAGTGCCATATTCATTTCCCTTTTGCATATCAACTGGAGACTAAGCTTAATTGTTGGATAAAACCATTCCCACATCTGTACACAGAAACATATTATGACCTTATGTACTCAGATCCTTCTGCTTTTGCTTATCTCATTTGATTTATGTACCTGCATAATACAATTCTTCTTTACACTTGGTGCACTCTTTAGCTCCTTTCTCAGAATAAGTATTTCTTGGACACACCTGGCAGCCAGATGAACCTGGTTTGTCACTGAAGGTACCAGGCTTGCATGCAAAGCATTCAGATGTATATGCAACTCCTGTAAGGTAAATTACAGATAAACCACTGAAACACAGAGAGGTATGCTCCGTAGCTACTGCCCACCTGCCTAAGGGGGAAAGCAAGCCATGTGGGTAACGCAGCTTAAAAATCAGACTTTCACCACTCCAGACACTTTGGCTTTGCCGACTCGTGATTTAGGTCTTTACTCTTTGCTCCTCAATGCAAGTCTGGCCCATGTAAGAACCTTACATGACACTCCAAGCTCGATTACATTTAGAATCACACCAAAAGAGCAATCCCAGATTAATTAAATGGTCTAAATAGTAATTTAACTATCACTGTTATGATGAATACGTCCATCTATTTATCATTATTGAGAGACTAACTGATCAGCATGGTCTTTCTATACCAAGTAAAAGAAAGCCTATTTTCCCCTTTTTTCTCTTGCTAAACCAGTCTTCTCCAGTAGACGGCATCATTTACCAGCTAAACTAACTTTTCAGCCTTTCCCTGACAGTATGAAGTTTTGCTGTCCTGTTTGTACACGTTGGAGAAAGAGATGGGGGGACAAGGCGGCTAAAAAAGCCTCTTCGGTGCTGTAGCCACACCAGTAGACATGGCACCTGGCAAACACTGTGATGAAAGAGTGAGATAAGACCTAAAAAGCAAATATTACTTACCTTCAATCGTGATGTTTTTCACCAGAACTGGTTTTACTGCTTTGGACCCCATGAGAATCCCTGTTGTTCTCCAGTATAATATATTGCTACCTGATTTCAGAGTTACCTGCAACAACACGCGTAACTGTTAGAAGGCATTCGCTCACCACGAAATTGTTTTATTTCTTACTTCCATCACTCAGTGTTCTTGCATTCTAGCAGCAATCCTGGCTTTTCCTAAGCTGCTTAGTGAGTCAAGAAGTAATGGAGAGACAGCTAGGCAGACGCTGTACAGACATCTCTGAGGAGTGCCAAAGTGTGCTTTACAAAAAAGCTTCTCAACACCCCAGTTTCATGGAAAAACACCAAGAGCTCTTTCTGACCTTGTTGTAAGGTTGCAGAACTGGGAAAAAGCTGTTCCTAACTTTATCCAGCTACCCCTGGCACTCAGGAGCTTTTATCTCTAGCTCTATGTTCAGATATAGTCAGTCTGTTTTTAAAGCCTTGAGATACACTTCTGTAAGAAACCCAAAATGACCCAGAGTTAAAAAATCAAGGCTCACAAGTGAGTTTTGTTTATAGGCTTTAAAAATCAAGCTCTGCCTGCATCTAACATTACAGCATCACGATCAGTAAGACAGGCACAAACCATGAGTGACACCAGCAGCGGTCCCATCCCTCCTGCTCATTGCTGACCCTGCACAGCAGATGAAATGCAGAAAACAGCCCAGTTTCCAGCTGCTTTGACCTACTCGCCTTCGCAGCGTGGTTCAGCATAGCCCCTGTGCTGGCACAGGAAGGCTGGTGAGTTGGTGGCACCAAGGCTGGGGGAAGGAGGAGGAGGAAGGCAGGACCACTCCTTTCAGCAGCAGTGTTGATGCCTGCTGCCTTCAACTCACTGTGTAAACTACAGTACCACTCTATTTACTGAAAGTAGCAGGTTTACCAAGACCTTGGCTGGCCTGCAAAGCTGTACCACATCTACCAGCTCAGTACAAGATGCCTACTGCCTACACAGTGATACTGGCCTGAAGGTGCTATATTTTCACACAAGAGGAGGAATAAACTCTACCAGCAAAAGGGTCCAGGATAATATTTGCAGCAGTGCTGTACACGCCTTGACGGACCATAGTTTTTGTTCAGCCAGGATAAAGAGTCCAAAAACTCAGTGAAGTTTGTATCTCCCACTCCCCAGACACCTGCTAGCCAGGGGGGCAGAGGAGAGCTGGGTTACTGCAGGTAGCAGCAGAACTGGGACCACATTGAATTAAACATCATGTTGTGTGGTGTAGAGATACCCAACATCAGCTCTGGTGCAGCAGGACTAGCATGCTGGAAGCAGAGGCTGCAGCAACTGGAAAATAGGGCTCAGAGAAGCTGCCATGACAGGGTTTGCAATGCAGACAAAAGCCTCGAGGAGAGCCAGAACAGTCAACTCACCTAGCTCGCATGTCTACACTTCAGCCAGGCATCCAAGCAACCTTCATAGTCAGTGGAGACACATCCCAGACAACAAGCTCAGATGCTCAGATGCTACCACCTCCGGTGTAGATGCTGTCTACATCTCTCAGCTCACCCAAGTCGATGCCCTGGCCTTCGATCTACCTTCAGCCCATGCCGCTCACATCTCCTCACCCAGTTCTCCTGCCTCACGATGTGACTCGTGCAGGGCTTGCACCTGAGTTAATAGGCACTGCCAACAAGAGCTGGCTCGGGAATACTGTTTCTCCTCCAGGAGGATAAGCAGACCATGGGAAATAGAGAGCGTGGGCTGCTGTCTATGCCAATAAAAAGCCTTTTTCTTCTGGCATACTGTCATCTACGCTAGGCCTTTGCTAGCATGGCTCTGGGAATTAGGGTGTGGTGATATAGTGGAAACCAGATGCCAGCAGGAGCTAATGAGCTGGTCTACACATGGTCTGCACACCAAGCAGACTCAGCCAGCTGGGTCACAGGCCAGCCAAAGGGCTGCTGCTCCCGACATGACCGTCCTCATCAGCACTGCAGGAGCCACACCAGTGCTGCCAGCCTGCTTTTCAACCAGGTAAGTCACCACAGAACACAAGCTGGGTGCAGTCCAGCTCTTCAGCACACACTTGAGAATAAAATGCCCACCCTGCCTGCCTCCACATACACACACTACTCCCGCTGCTCTGCTGAGCAACAGGGAATAATCTCGTGCTCTCATGAGCAAACAACTGTTGTAGAAGACTTCAATTACAATCATGCAAAGTGTCTGTGGCGTGCAGATTTGCATAAATCCATTTAACTTCATACAGCACTTGATTCAAAGCCCAAGGAAATCAACACAAAGTCTTGCATCTGTATCATTTGCTTTGGGATCAGACCCTTAAAGATCTTGGTGGCTTTGCCCCCAATACTAGGAAAGCTGTGCTGCTTCAAATGGCCCTTGTTTGCTGTCTGCTCAGAGGAAATCACAGACATTTATAAATGGAAAAAAGCTTCATGAAGGAATTTTTTGCACACTTACAGAATGAGAGCCCCATTCCCCGTTGTCTGTTAGCTTCACCCACTTGTCTGCCACGGACTCCATCTCTTTGCACTGGTCATTTTGTATCTGTTAATAAAAACACAAGATCAGTGACCACAGTCAGATGCATCTCTCTGTCAGTATAATGACTGCTGGCTGGGAATGATAAGATTCAGCTTTGTTCCTCTGTCTACATATTTAGGACAGCAGCTGCCTTACTTGTGGCAAAAAAAAAAAACAACCACCCAACTTTCAAAACCTGTTAGCACCTTAACAGTGCCTCCAACAACCACCTCTGATGCAGATGGAAGAAAAGAGCAGGAAGAGGAGATCTCAGCCTTGTCCTCTAGCTATCTGGTCAGACTTGGATACTAAGCATCTTGTCTTGGCTGCCTTTTCCTTCTCCTCAGTCCACCAAGACCCAGTTCTCTAAAATCCAGAGGCCACGGGCTTCTAAGTCAGAAGGAGGTAGGAGTGGACGGGCCAAAGCTAGAAGACAAACTGCTTTCTCTGCAGCTAATATCTGTTATGTCTTTGGCTCCCTGCCACCTGACCTTACTAGGCGTGAGAGAAACGTTATCAAGGGAGAGGCAACATGCCATGGGCAGTCTGCCCTGGCAGGAGTGTGAGGTTGATTGTCCTTCACCCAGGTCCAGTGCAGCTCAGCAGCCTTTCCTTGCAGCAGGGTTTGATGCATGGCCTCACAGCGGTCCACTTCTTTCTCCTCATAACTGTCTTCTCTGAAGAAAAAGTATCAAGTCCCTTTGAAGCACGAGTTCAATTGTTCATCTTTCATTCCACCATGGAGAAAGACCAGTTCAACACTTTCAGAATACATGGGGTAAAGCATCCTCCTCAAAGTTGTTCCACATCAAGTCTGAAATAAGTCACATAAGCCCCCATCCTCCAAAGCATTTGTGCACCTAATTCCCACCTAGATCAACAGCACTGAGGAAGAGAGGTAAGAAGAAGCGCCTAAGTAGAAGATAGACCCCTAATTATCTTGCACAATCTGAGTTACAGCATCTTTGTGCCTCGGTTCCCATCTGTAAAAAGGAGATAAGAATATATAGTCTCTTCTCACAAGGTGTAAAGAGAGCCTGGGAAGGGCAGATATCAGGGCAGGCAGGAAGCACTGGGTATCTAACAGGAAGCATCCATGCTTCCCACATTTGAGGACATCTGCTTGCTTACCCTCAGACCGACAGTGCAGCCACCTGCACCTGGAGAGCCCAAAAACGTCACCATTTCCTGGCAAGCTGCAAGCCACCACCACTGAAATGCCACTGTCCAGAGCTGAAGAGACATTGCTAAGTATATTTAAACACAAAGACATGCTGGAGGAAAAAAATTGACTTTTAGAGGAGCGTTAAATATTATTTCCCTGAAATACTGAGGCTGGCAGTAAATGGGCATTTCTATAAAGGACTGCACAACTCACTGCTTCTTGAACAGGGAATGATAAATTTAAGGAGGTGAATGAGTGGGATATGGATAAAGGTAATAATCAAAAAGCCATTTTCAAAGCCAGTGCTCAGAGAAACAATATATTTGTGCCATTGTGGGAGCAGATCAGTCAGTCAAGCAGCTGGAGCTAGGATTCAAAATACTGATACGTTCACCTGACAGCAAAAAGCCTATCTGCTGCTTTCTCGCCATGAAGAAGGCAGGATAGTCTAATATGAAACTGAAATGGCTAAACAATATTGCCTGCACTGTTGGATATCAACGTGCAGTAGCAATCTATTGCACTGATGCAGCAGCAAGAGGGTACCTCCAACAGGTTATTTTTGTCTTCCTTTCCCATCTCTACTAAGGATAAGGATACTTTGCACTTTTCTCCAAGCTTCAAGAAACATTAACCAACTCCAGCTAAGGCTTCTTACGCCTGCGAGATACCATGAGCTGTCTTTTTCAGATGAAAACCAGAGCTCGCCAGACAGGTACAGAGGCAGAAACAGAAGAGACTGAAAATTTCCAGTCATCTCCTGCACTGAGTTGCCCTCCCATGACATTTTTTTCTGTCCCAAATGGCAAGTACAACATGCCAAGGAAAGCAATGCTGGCGTTAGTGGAACCTTCCAAAGCACCTCAGTGATGTGGGGCATCTACACCACACTGCGGAGCCTGGTGCTGGGAACCTTCCAGCTCCCTGGACCCCAACAAGATCATCCACGTGGGCAGAACAGGGTTGCCTTTCCCATTCTGGTCACTGCTGATCAGATTGGTTTAGTAATCTGGGTACAGCATGGTGCAAGCCCATCCAGGCTGCTTCCATTTCAAAGCTAATGATCCCCAGCCCCTCCATTTCTCAGTGCGGACCTGTCCTCAGGGCCTAATTCCTCCTGAAAGTCATCTGAATTTTTCCTCCTAAATCTCTTTGGAGAAATGTTGTTTCTGGCTTTTTTTTGTTTTTGTTTTTTTTTTAGGATCACCCTTCTGCTTTTCTCTTGCTTTTCTTTTCATCTTAATTGCTATGATCTAAATTGACCTAAAACTAAAGCTAAGGTTTCCACATACTAATGCCTTGAAGCACCTCAGGTTCTGGATGCCTACTTTAAAAGAAGTCTTTTTAAACATCAAGTCCTTTCAAAGGCATCTCAAGTTAAACACCCCTAAACTGAAGCATCTACCACCAAGAGTTTTTTCATAGAAGGCTGGACTAACAGGGGCAGTCATGACCCCTGATGGAAAAATCCCAGCACATGGTAGACAGGACCAGTTTAGCCTGAGTTTTGAAGCTGAAATAAATACCAAAAGGCAGCATAAGTGGCAGAAAGAGCAGTTTGGGGTTTTTTTAATCTTGTTCAGCAGTAACAAGCTATGAACATACGAGAAATATAAAGGGAGGAAAAAGCTGTTTCTAATGATCTTTATCTGGATGGGATTCTTACAATATAAGGTTGAATTCACCATATAAAAGGCCTTACAAAAAATTCAAAGAAGATGTTGTTGTCAATATATTGGTATTCAAAGAAGACAGAACCGGATTTCTTCAGGTGCACAGCGTAGATGAGAGAAACTGTACAATCATCCCTGTTCGACTCTATGTAATTCCCTCGAGGTGTCCACGAAGAGCTGATGAATATAAAAAAAACAAGCTTCAGCTGAGATCACAGACACTGAGGAGACTTTTCTTACACTACTACACAAAAACATGTTACTTTAAATAAAGAACCCAGAATCCCACAATAGCTAACTACAGTGAATTTGTAACTTTATTACTGGATTACCATTTATTTTTCATGTAAATATAATACTGCTTATTAAAACCGTGCATGGGAAAAGATATGGTACTAGAAACTTGGGACCCAGCCTACACAGGAAAGGTTTATTATCCATAGGTTCAATTCTTATATTCAGAAGCAGCCTTCTGCAACCACCGTGGGTCGGTCTCTAAATAGGCTGCGAAAGTACCTTTTAGCCACATTTACTATACCATGACTTTCCAGCTACAAATGAGAGCAGCTCCAGGCTGGTCTTAGACTCACTAGCTGCTGATGAGCCCAAGGAGACCATGATGACAGCAAAGAGATGGCTACAAATTTCACTTCCCAGCCACTCTTGTTTTCTCATGAGTAGGGCTGGTTACCCTCTGGAGAGCTTAGATAAGTCATTGATCTGGCTTTGCGCTGCTGAGCTGCCTCAGGTTTACCCACGGCTGTGAAACCCAGATGCAAACAGAACTTCTTACTTGTTGCAGCTGTTGGCTTTATTCTCAGTTGAGCCAACCGCCGTGTCCATGAAAGTTGCCACATTGGAGAATCCTGCCGGCAGCTCATCCCACTCATCAAACTTGATCCCGCTGCCCAGCGAGTATGTCCCCTCTGCACATTTGCTGCACACCTGGTTCTTCATCTCCAGGTACTCACCAGAGGCACAGGAGAAAGCTGGGGAGAAATTGTTTCCAACATGAATGGAGAAATTAATCCCAATAATTTCCATTAATTTTTTGCCGCTTAACTAATTAAGAGTGAACTGCCACTAAAGGGACTCAATTTTTTTCCAGTAACACACCAGCTGAGCTACTAACACTGGCTGCAAAATTGTTCACCAGTGCCTGTTTTTTCACCGACGTGGCAGCGCTGAAGCCGAATCTCAGATGGCGGCTCCTGATTTGCAGCTTGTCTCCATGGGCAAAACAAGGTTTAGAAATGAAATCCCCACCCACAGGCTGTGTCCAAAAGCAATTTGTGAACATGAGGGCATGGAATACAGTTCTCCTCACCCTTGCTCACCCATCTGTTACTCAACTAAAACCACCAGCACCTGGGAGCCAGAGCAGACTCGTATCACCCACCTGTACGGTAGCGAAGAGTGCGCAGCAGCACGTTGACAGTCATACAACACTACAAACCTCAGCTGAGAGCTCCAGACCTAATCTAAGGCTCTCTCCGCGTTTCTCCTCACATGGGCTGCCCACAAAGCTTTGAACATCTTGCCTGACAGACCAGGTGGCCGAGGAAAAGATCACCAATGGGCCTGTGTCTTGTGAATGGGGATCTTTGACCAGGGTCATATTAGCATGTTGAGAAAATAAACACTGGTTGCCAGCACAGCAAAGACAGTACTCAAACATATTTAACTAAGTAAAGTATAATTTAGAAGGAACGTTAACAAAATGCTTTTATTACTGATGTCTGTAAAATGACTTACTCCAAATAACTATATAACCCTTGTTCCAGCCTGATCACATCTCTACCTGCTAAGGGAGGAATATTCTGCCCTCCCTCGGACCGAACATCCTGGGTGGAAAACAAATGAGTGCTTTCTGCAGAACATGATATATCCTGTGTTGCTTGCAGATTTCTAAACTTCGCCGTGCCAGTCTAGGCAAAGCAGGATTCAGAGCAACGCGCACAACTCGCATCCCAAGAAATGGTGGGATTTTTTGCTGTTTCACGCATGCCACGTTGTGCAGCAACGGATATTTCATACACTCACTTTGGCAGACATAAACTCACTAGTCTGACAAACTGTGAGATGAGACCAGTCTGCCAGCCAGAGTGGTGAAACTGGCCGAAAACAACTGATGCCAGATGAAGTTTTACAGACATGCTGATGTTTATCTAACTGCAGAAAAGCTTATTTGACTGTGAGTACTTTGATAAAGATGTGGCTGCACAACACCAATTTCCATCTGAATCTAACTGCACTTCAGGCTCCCATTTCTGTGCTGGATCCTGCAGCATTTCTTTGGGTAGTTATCCTTGATGGGCAGCACTGGAATGCAGGTGAAAGGTCCATTTTGATGGAAAGATCTGCCAAAAGGTCATTTTTCCCTCTTGGTCATATCAGCGTAGTCTGAATTTGAACAGTGGACTTCAGGCCAACAAATCTGTTTTTTTAACCCTGCCACTTTAATATTTTTATTAAATCCTGCTTTATTTTTTTCTTTTGAAGGGTGCACAGAGAAGCAATCAGGAAGGGAAGTAAGAAAAGCCAGCTCTCTCATGATGGATTCCAATCCTTTAACAGCTTCAACTCTTTTTTTAAGAAAGTTTATAGCAAGAACTGGAGAGCGCTGCTTAACCACACGTTCCAGATCTGGGAATTTCAAATAAGGAGTCAGTAACTGCGAGCGACTCGCTGCCATAATGAAGACGCAGAAGGCAGCAGAGCCTCCTCTTCACTGCAGTGAGACTGAGCAGAGATTTTGCTTTAACCGAACTAGTATCTTTTAACTCCTTGCAGTCTGATCATTCTAGAGGAAAAAAGGATATAAGAGACCAGGCAGGCTGCCGTGCAGGACGCTGCCATTCACCACTCACCTTCCAGGAGAGACATGAGCCTTTTTCTTATTTAAGTGGGGAATTACCTTCTTACCCTTTTCTAAGCATCGTGTTTCAAAGACAGCAGCATTTCCCGTCAAACACGTCTGCAAGCAAACTAGCTGTGAGTATGCCAGCTACTTGCCAGGTTCAATTTGGGGCTGAACGTGGCTAATGGCACCACGAACCACTTTCGACGTGGGAACAGATGCATCGCCTGGTCTCATTCCAAGCGGTTGGGCAGGGCTGGAGGGCGATGGGGAGGAAACGCGGCGTGTGAGGAGCGCAGAGATGGTCTCCTCTCCTAACGTCACGCAGCATGCTCTTCCAGCAAGGGGGGAGACCAAAAGCCAGGCCAAACCCTCTTTAAATTAAGCAGCATCAATTCAGGAGCCTGTCCCCGCTGGAGACAGGCAGGTTGTGGCCATGCCCAGAGGGACCCTGCAGAGCAGATGTCCTCCACCACGGGCCAAGAGGCACCTGCCCCGGGTGGGGACAGGGCAGAGACGATGGCCCGTCCCGGGGCACTGGCGCTTTGCCCTGCTCGGGGCTGCTCTGTCTCGCTGAGACGTGGCCGGGCACAGATCCGGCGCTGAGCAGCGACCGCTCGCCCACGGACGCGCTTGACAGCACGGCTGTGTTTGGGGGGCAACAGGCATAAGGGGCTGTCAACGGGAAGGGCGGCATCGCCACTCAGGAGGTTAAGGCGCGATGTGGTGTTTCAGGAATCCAAATCGTACGTTTTAGGTGTGTGCTCTGATTCATCCTCCACTTAACCCTCCCGCTTGCTACAGACTCCAGAGGGAAAATTAATCTCCTGGCTTAGAGGTGGCCTTTGTGATCACTATCTGCCTCCAACACCAAAGCCTATTTGTTTAAGCATTTGATGCTCAATTTTTGGAGAAAATATCTCTATTGAATAACTTCTTACATGTCCACCCTGTTTCAGAAAGCAGAACTAAGGCTGCTGAATCACGTAGGCAATTCTGAAAATCTTTTCCATAATCGACACTATTGATCCTGTTTGGACATCATTATCCCTCTCCCTCTCAACTGCAAACTTTCCTATTACACTTTTGAAATATCATTTTGGGTGCTACACACCAACATAGACAGAACAACGCACATTGTGAAGACTGAATTTGATCTTTTTTCTTTCTGGGGAAAAAAAAGGGAAACGCATTAAAAAGTTTCATGATTGGCCCCATCATGGGCATTTTTAAAACTGGGAGAAGATTTTCAGAGGCAGTTAGGGACAGCACAACATACTGTGGTGCTGGATACACTGATGCCTTCGGTAGCTGCAGTGAAGCCAATGCAATTACTGGTGATTTGCATCTGTAGCAATAAAATAAAAACCAAAGAAAAAAAAAAAACGCTGTGGCTTGTGCAGGTGACCGAGTCTTTGTCACAAAAGATGCTGTAAAGTACTGTTAGATAGACACTGCCACAGGCAGCCACACACGTTCATACATGTATGCAATAACGCCGACACCCGATTTACTTCATAAAAAATCACCAACAGCTACAGTACTAATACCCACTGAAACCATTGTATAAGTCGTGCCAAACAAACCTCATTTCATTCTTTAAAAGGATTACAAATCGCTTGATAAAGGTGACTGAGTGGATGTAATAGACTTAGGGTTTCTAATACAGTTAACTTAGTTTTGCATGTCATTCTGATGAAGAAGGTGGTACCAGACAATACCAGTAAGGCACATCTTGAATGGATTAAGAACTGCCTGAGTAACCGGTCTCAGACAGCGCCGTCAGTGAGAAACCATCACTGAGCGGGGGGCAAGGGGGCAGTTCCGCCTGCCCCGGGACCAACTCTGACGGCCGTCCACATTTTTACCACAATCTGCAGGCAAATAGGAAAGGAACAGTATTAAAATCGATGGGTGACTGTTGTCAAGCCTGAGCCCGCTCCAAGTCAGTGTGTTTTAACAGAGCCAAAGGTAAAGACAAGCCGCTATGCCGGCCCTGCCTGCAGAAGGCTGAAACGTATCCCAGAGAGCAGCAAGCCTGAGGGTGGGAGTGGACCCGCCGTCCAGCAAGAGCTTCTGCCGTCAAGACGTGCAAGAAGGCACTAGTGAGATCTGTGGGTATATTTAGAGGCGGAGGTAGAGATGTGTAGGATGGAACGTGTGTATTACAGGCAAGACGATGATTCTAATACTGAATATAGTTGTGATTCAGCATTTTTAAGAGGTCAGTGGAAAACAAAAAGACTTAAAATGCTTTCAAAATTAGGAGTAATGTCTTACAGTGAGAGATCTGAAGTGCTTAGTCTATTTAGTTTATCAAAAGAAGATTGAGAGTCAGCTTGATTAATATATAGGCATCTCCAGGGGGAGAAAAGACAGGATCCCACTGGCCTCTTCAGTCAAGCAGAGAACTACATAAGAAGAACTACCTTCTGGAAGTGGAACCCAGACAAATTCAAGTTGGAAATAACACACACATTTTTAATAGGAAGAATGACTGATTGCTGGAACAATTTGTCACGGCATGTGATGGACCCTTTGCCTCTCAAGTGCTTCGTACCATAACTGGACACCATATGGAAGAAAAGCTCACACCAAATACAAATTATCAGCCTCAGCATCAGCCTAACTGGGTGCATTTTAATGGCCTGCGAGGTCAAACTAGCAAATCTAATTAATCCCTCTCCTCTTAAACTCTGTGAGTTGGGAGCGATGGCATCTTACCTCCCTCCTGGGACACAGCACAGATGTGGAGCATCCTGAAGCAGGAGCCCTGCCCACTGTGTAACCACTTCCAAGGAGTGCTTGCAATAGATCACTTTGCAGATCTAAGAGCACTTTACAATCACATTGCAGACATGGAAACAGCTCCCCAGAGGGCAAAACAGACCATAAACAGGCCAGCCTCCTTTGCCCTTTGACTGCAAGGCTCCAGGGTCATGTTCTGCCTTTTAGTACTGCTGTGGCCCTCCCAGTGATTTTGGTGGACTAGGACCAACAACGGTTGGCACATTTCTCTTCTAGTAACTGACCCTGACAATCTCATGTTACTTAAGTTTCTGATGCTGGGGGTCAGGACAGGCTTATCATGAACACGACTGGACTAACAGAGTAGATCCTCACATGCAT